TATAGAAAGCACTTTAGCACAGTGCCTACCAATAGTAAATGGTAAATATCTGTCATCACTGAAACTATTAATGCTTGTTGTCATGGAGATGTAGTTGTAAAATACCACATTAAAATTTCATTGATTGCTGTTTTCCAGTCTTATATCTGAATGTTTTCATTAAGTTATTTTATAAAAAAGCCAAATTCATTCTGCACCAAATCCCACATTACAACAAATATTCTAGCAAAATTCCAATGTGCTTCAAGCTCATGAATATTATCATTTCCCTTTCATTGTTTTAGTTTGAAAAGAATGTCACTGGTTCTCAGTTCTAAAAAAAGTATTTTCTACCTCCTTTTTACTCTACATACTGATACATACTCCAAAAATGATATAACTTTTAATATAACACCAGTATAATAGATATAACTCAATAAAAGCTAAAAGCAAATAATACTACCTAATTAGGAGCAAAGAATATATAATAGCCGACATCTTTCTGGCCTTGACAAAATGATCACTTATTGTTCCTGATAGAATCTATACACAGGACAGGCGCAGGGAAGCATCTGCTTATGGTTGTTTTTATTTCTCGCTGGTTTTAGGACAAGCACAGGACAAACTGCTAGGCCATGTGACTGTGGACACACAACTCTATCCTGAGTACTTCCAATCCTGACCAAAGTCACACAGCTTCTGAACATAAACACAAGCTTAGCCTGTGACAGAACCAATCCCACCAAAAAGGCCAGAATTCTCATTCCTTTGCTTTCTACCCAAATGAGATACATGGAAATTACTTATACATTCTGTTTAATCCTTATGCAAACTTGTCCTCCAACATCAGAATTATAGTTCTAATTTAGAATTTCTTTTACTCAAGATATTGCCCTAATTTTAAAAAATAATCTCAGATTTCTAATCATGAAATAATTTGCAATTCAGGCTATTAATCAAATGATAGAATATTGGAGGTATAATTGACTAGAATCATTTCCTTTGTTCATTTGCTTCTTGTTTCATTGATTCATTATAACCATCCTATAAGATATATACAGGAGAGGCAATCTCAACCCACGTCCATTTAGCCAACCTAGCAAAAAGACTAATGTGCTCCATTTCTTCTGTAAAACACGCAGGCTGATGGTCAGGGCTTGCCAAGAGAATATCAGAGAGTAGTTAATAAACGACTCCTGCCCTTAACAATTGAGTTTCATGATAATCAAGAAACAACTGTGCATATTTCCCAGTCGGTTTTTGCCAGTTATTTTGCAGTAAATTATGTAGTTTAATTCAAAATGGTATAACCAAATAACAATAGGGTGCGAAAAGAAAACAGTTGTTATTTGTATGAAAATTAAGTTGAACGTTTTAGAAGGACTCTTGGGAACTAAATAGAGTCAGTAATGACTCAGCTAAGGGCAAGACAGCTACGAAGATTGGGAGACGTTTTCAAAATCTAGACAAATTTTCCTATAGCTTCACCTCAAACTGAAAATTATAGGCAATGAACCATAGGTATCACTAATGCCAGAAGATGATACAAAATTCCAATCAGTGGATTCCAAAGAGCCTTAGGCCTACATCAAAAGATTGATGAATAAATGAGTATTTAAATATTTTATGTTATAGCACAAAGTTTAAAGTAAATATGCATTATTTTATGGCTTCTTATTTTAGCCAACTTTTTCTATTAACCAACAAACTAAATGTCCCAAATGGGTTGGATAAAATTTCAATCCCCCATTTACAATGAGAAAAAGAAGTTATTCATCAATTAAATAAGTCAGTAAATCATTGAGGCCAGATTACAAACTCAGACTGTATATATCCATAGCTGAAGGGTATCTTCTGCCAGCAAGCATGTACCATTCACTATATGATTACTAAATTAAGACACAGGCAACTTCAGTAGGGAGGGATAGTATATTTAATATCTATAGTATATTTAATATCTGCCTTTATTCTGTTATAATTTTTAACCTTACCAAAAATAAATTATGAATGATAGAAATATCATTACTGAGCAAGTCAAAGCCATAAAAAAATAGGTTACAAGGGTTGAAAGCAGGAAGAATAGGTGGAAGGAAGAACAATGAAGTAATTCTGGTAAAGATGGTGGTAACAAGCACTAGGAACTTGTATGTATGTGAATGTTTGAAACATTGTGCTTGTAATGTTCAGAGAGGCAGCATAATGTAGGTTAAGAAGATGAATATTTAAATTAACTAACATAGCATAGGTTAATAAAGGTTTAGAAGGCAGGCTCTGGAATCAGACTGCCTAGATTTGAATCCTGGCTCTACCATTTACTAGCAAGTAATACTGGACAATTCATTTAACCTCTGTGTTTCGGTCTTCTCATCTGTAAAATGAAGAAGATAATGCCTACTCATAAAGCTGTTTTGAAGATTCAATAACATAATCCATATAAAGGAATACCTGCCACATAATAAGCACACATTATCCACCAGCTAACATAGAGACACTGGTGAGGGTGCTAACATAACGGTCAGCAGTAATGCCATGAGTGACCAGTCTACAAGGATTCACATCCCGGTGCAATTCCTTACCAGCTCTGTGATCTTGGGGGCAGTTACGCAACCTCAAGTCCCTCATCAGTACAATGTGCACCATAACAGCTCCAGCCTCACAAGATTATTGTGAGGATTCAATGAATGTAAATGCAAAGTGCCTGAGACATAAATGCTTAATGTAATAAATGTTAGACACTATTATTTTGTATATTAGTGGCTTTGCAGCTAGATTGAAAACTGCCCTTCCTCGGAGCACGCAGATGTTTCTTATCACCATGGTCCCTCTGGCTCCATGCTTCTCACCTCTGAAATGAATACAGGATGCGCGCCATTGATTTCAGTACAGATAGATCACCAGTGCCATCTAGTGGCTTACTGCTTCACCAAAGAAGGTGTGTTGCCCACAAAGCAGCACAATTTCTACAAGTGTCAATCTAATTTGTTTAAGACAAACTAAATCTAATGTAGTTATTTGAAAATTTGTGTCATTTTATGTAACTATTTGAATATAGTACAAATGCAAATGAGGGATATTTCAAAAGCTGCAGACTAAAAGTAAACGGCTTGGCAAATACAGCACAAAAAAAGTTTGCTGCTTTTTTTTTTTTTTTTCCCACATAAGCCAAACTGGGTTTAAACCCACTGCCAGATTTTTTGGACAGCTTTATGATGTTAATAAACCCCTGATGTTTTCTACACCCTAGCTGCCTATAATATGAAATGAAGGTGTTGTATGTATTGAATTTCCTTTCTAGTTCTAAAAGTAAATGATACACCAGTATATTAATTTTAACATGATGAATCTAAATATTATCCATCAGGAGCATTTTTCTCAGAAAGAAACTTTGATAACTTCCAAGATCCTTTCCAACTTTATGATTTTTTTTTAATGCAGCCATATTGGAATTAAAATCAGAAATGTGAGTATTTGGAATAATTTAATCAGCACAAAAGTAATAACATATTCTAAAATATTAAGCTATATTGTTGGATAAATTAAAATGTTAGTAACATATGAAATCCCATGCAAAGCATCACACAGCTTTACTCTCTGCACGTCAAAACTTACAGAAGTGCTCAAAACTGCACAAAACTACTGTAACCTATACTAAGCCAGCAGTCCTTGCTTTGCTCAGTTGAAAACTGAGTAAATTTCAGAGACACAATTAGTTAAATAACACCAGTCTTCCAACAACACAGTTCAAATGTCAGTTATCATGGTATATTAATTACGAGTAATCACATAAGCTCTGCTGGCTCTTTGGTCCACAAATCACTATGTAAATAACAGATGTAGCATCATGAGCAGTGACTAGCATGTCACTTCTTTCCAAGTCCATCAGTGATGATTGGTCACTGCACACAGGTTATTCAGTTCACATGAAGACGGCAAAGTGTGCTGCCTCCTTGTCTCCCAATGATAAATTCACATGGCATTTTGTGAAAGTGGATGATAGACAGGTGGAATTAGCCTATAAAGATGAAAGTGCAGCAAAGAAACAAAATGTGCTGATGCTGGATGTTAAATTGGATGTGAATGGATCTGAAAATGGCGACAGCCAAGCAAAGATAGGAGAGACCTAAGTGAGCATGAAGTGAAGCTAAGAAATATGAATAAAACAAGCTAAATTGCTTCAATAGGATTCTAAGTGAATATAAATGGGTTGTACAAGAAGTAGGTGACCCTGGAATGTTGACAGTGCATCCTCTGAGTTATATACTTACGCAGCCACAGGAATTTAGAGAAGGCAAACTTATCAACATCAATGAGGAAAGTTATTGTGACCAAAAAATGACAATGTCCCAGAGGAAGTGACCAGCGTAAAACTTCACATTAAAGAAATTCAGAGGTATTTCACAACTTTGAAAATACAAAGGACAAAACAGAAGTTGATCCAAACCTAAAAAGGAATATGACAGTTCAAGGCCCCAGGGCATAGAAAAGATACTTTCTCCACATTATAAATTATGTGATGAGAAGAAGGCAAATACCCTTCAACTCCTCTTGACAAGTTTTTTGCAAAGAAATAAAATATTTTACTTCTCCATGTTTCTAATGTTTTAAAATATAGTGCACTGTACAAATATTAGTTTTACTATTTTTTTCATTTCCCTATTCATTTATAAACCACAGTAAGGGAATTATAATGTTTTGAGAAAACATGTTTAAAGGCCACAGAACAATTGTTATATTTGCCCTTGATTATTAAGATCGCTTTGCCCGGTTTCAGCTTACACAGTTATTTTCATGGTCTTGCACATTGTGCAAAGCAAGGACTGCATGTACTGTCAATGCCTGTTTTTCTTTCACAATTTCAATCATTGAAAGCATGTCATTCAGAAATTGTCACCTATTGCATGCTAGTATAATAGCTAGTCCCCTTCTGAGCATGTTTTATAAATTACTTGCAGTATCATGACACAGTGCTGCAAGATCCCTTTCTCCTAACCCAACCAGACATATAGAAGAGCATTGAATACCTGGCAGGGGCAGCTGAACTAATATACCACTGACTCTCGGGTCCATGTTCAACTGATCAGTTATATCCAAAAGCTCTTCCTGAGAAACGTCCTTAGGTTTTAGAATGACCTCGCTGCAGATACCTGGAAGAAAACAAGCACAGAAAATCACTGGACGAACACAGAAGTGTTTTTTCATTGATGGCGTCTTACACGGCGTGTAACTGGTTTGCTCTGCTCCTGCCCCACTGGATGGAAAGGCCCTTCTACAAAAATGATTTTCAAAGCACCATCAGAAAGGATTTCTCAAATAGTACAGATGCTTTCTCATGATTCACATGCATTTTTTGGCCCAGTATCCCATGTGGCAAATTGCACTTATTTGTGATAAGCTACTTTTAGTGAATTTGAATACAGTAAAAATACAAATAGTATCACCACTAATATCACGCCAAATTTGACAGAGAGAACTGGCCAGGTTTATTATCTGATTAAAGCAAATGTAATCAAAATGGGCCTTTTAAATGTAAAGTTTTCCTCTCACATCTCACCATAGGATGTGAAGTCACACTGAACTGATTCAATAAGGAATTTAAAGAAATTAGTACGAAATGAATATAAACTTTGGTAACTAAATAATCTATAATAACATGTTATTCAAATAGCACTAATTTGACAATTATCATTCATAATGATTACACTTTGAAGTAAAAGCAGAAAACATCATTTAGTAACAAGTACAACTAAAACGTCCCTACCTACAGCAGAGGCAGCTCTGATCTTCTTCCTGACATATGTGTGGCTTGCTGGGTTATCACCCACTAAAATGATACTGAGGTGGGGTCTTCTGTTCCCCAGGGAAATCCATGATTCCACACCTCGCTGTATTTCTTTCTGGATTTGTTTGGCCATCTCAGTTCCTGAGATAATAATGGCATCGTGTCTATGGAAAACAAAAGAATAAATGTAGTACTAAAAATGCAATAAGGACATTCAACCACATAAGGTTAAGATACAAGAGCAAATAAAACATCTATGATTCTCCAAGTGAGGAACCAAGATTTGAATTTTTTTTCAAGTATATTTGACACCCATTCTTCAGGTTAATGTTTACAATTTTGTGAAAGATTCCAACTCTTTTTAGATCTATATTATAATCTATAGTTTACATTTATGTATAACTTTCATATACAGTATATATATTTTTAATTATCAAACCACATACTCAAGGTGTGGACTATAAAATTGGTTCTATTAGAGGCTCTGCTATTTTTTCAGATGATAAATAAGCACAATCTAGGTAAAAATGCCACCCATCTTCAAAGCCTTGCACCATGTTGTGTACACCTGGCCCCCCAGCCTTGCGACTCTAAGGCTAAGTCTATTCATTCTTGGTTACTGCATCCTGCACAAGGCCATGAAGTCATGAGCTCTCTACCACACAACTCTTTTACTCAAGGGGAAATTTTATTCCACAGCCCTAGGACAACTCTGTGACAACAGCTGCCAGTCTTGCCGTGCTTGTCACTGATGACTGTGGGGACTAGGTCAGCAAGCGGTGGCTGTTTCTCCCCATACCATGGCTCTAATAGAAAAACATCACTTCCTGGCAGTTTATGTAAGTACTTAAGAACGTAGGAAATGCTATACGTTGATAGATGATATAAATCTCTCTCTGGAAAGGCACAAAGAAATGCATTATGAGACCTGCATGCTTTCCATGATGTCAAACTTAGAGTAGTGAATGATGTTACTCTTACTGTGTGTTTATTTCTTAAAGGTACCTGATAAAGTATAAAATGGTTCCTTCCTCCTGCTGCCCTTGTCCTTTCCCTATTGAAAGGCCTAATAAAAGCATGATCTGTAGCACATGATTATTATACAAAATGCCAAATGCAGGTCAATGAATATTGTGAAGAGAAGGGGAGGGGGAGGGAGAGGAGGAGGAGGAGAAAGAAGAAGAAAGAAAGGAAAATCTTATAAAACCTAATTCTTTCTAGTATCTGCACACTTTTTATAATGAGGGTAGGCACCATGAATACCAGCCAACACACAAAATGCCAAGTTGTTGCCCCTTCCAAATAAGTCAGCTGCCATCTCTAATAAAGTTCGTGTATATATATATATATATATATATCTCAAAGGTGGCCTATGAATACATACATCAAAATTGCCTGGGAAGCTTGCTGAACTTGCAGATTCCCAGACCCCAGGACCACACCCACCATTCAGAGTCTCTAGAGGGTGAAGCCTGGGAATGTGCACATCTATCAAGCTCCCACGAGTATTCTTGCGCAGGACCATGTTTGAAACCATTTCTTCAGTTCAACACAAAAATATATTTTAATAACAGCCATACCCTAGGTAAGCAATTAACTGAGCAAATAAACTGGTCAGACAATATAATTTCAACTAGATAACTATAAGTAAATTTTACTTTTGATTCTAATTTTGTTGCCTTTTCACTAAAAATTTAATAGCTTTCAAGACCTGGAAGATCATGGTAAATGCAGTGTATCACTCTTACTCCACTGTCCTAATCTTGTAATAGCTTTATTGAAATGCAATTGACATATAATAAACTGTAAATATTTAAAGTGTATAATTTGATATTTTAATGTATGTATATACCTCAGAAACCATCACCACAATCAAGAAAATGAACATATCCATCACCCCCAAGTTTCCTGGTACCCCTTTGTATTCTCACAACTCCACAAGTCCCTGTCATGCACCCCCTCTATCCCCAGGCAACCCTGATCTGCTTTCTGTCACTATATTAGTTCATATTACCATGAATTTTATAAAAATGAAATCATGCACTACATACTCCTTTTCATCCAGCTACTTTCACTCTGCATAATTAAGATTCATTAATGTTGTTGCATGTTGTTGCATCAATAGTTCATTTCTTTTTATTGCTGAAGTTTTCCATTGTATAAATATATCAAAATTTGTTTATCCACTTAATTGTTGATGGATTTTTTAGTTATTTCCAGTTTTTAGTCATGACAAATAAAGCTGCTGTAAATATTCATGTCAAGTCATTGTATGCACATATGCTTTCATTTCTCTTGAGCAGATAGACACTTAGGAGTGGAATAGCTGAATCATATGTCAGGCATATGTTTAAATTGTAAGAAACTATCATCCTGTTTTCCAAAATGGTTGTACCATTTTACATTTCTACAAGCAGTATATGAGAGCTCCAGTTGCCCTACACATTTGTCATCAGTCTTTTAAATTTTAGACATACTGATGCCTATATGGTGGTATCTCATTGTGCTTTAAATTTGCATTCCCATAATGAAAAATGTTGAGCATCTTTTCATGTGCTTATTTGCCATTTACTTTCTTTGATGAATTGTGTAATTTAATATTTTGCCCATTGTTTAATAGGCTGTTTCCTTATTCTTGAAGTTTTGAGAATTCTTCATATACCCTAGATTCAAGTCCTTTGTTAGATATATGATTTGAAATATTTTGTCCCAGCCTGTTTTGCCTTTTCATTCTCTTAACTGTTTCTTTGGAAGATTAGTTCTGAATTTTGATGTATTTCAATCTATTTTCCTTTTATGAATCATGTTTTCTGTTGGGTGTAAGAAATCTTTGCCTAACTCAGGGTCACAATGTTTTTTTTCCAATGTTTCCTTCTAGAAGTTTTATGAGTTCAGGTTATATGTTTAGTTCCTTGATTTAGTTCTATTCCTAGTTTGATGAGGCTTTATATCAGGATACCATCAAGTGCTTTTTATGTATTTATTGAGATGATCATATGGGGGTTTTTTTGGTTTGTCTGATAATATGGTAGACTGTATTGATTGATTTTCAAACGTTAAACCAACCTTGCATTCCTGGGATAAACCTCACTTGGTCATGATGTACCTATCCTTTCATGGGTGTGGTCTGGGAATCTGCAAGTTCAGCAAGCTTCCCAGGCAATTTTGATGTATGTATCCATAGGCCACATTTCAGAATCACTTCTTAGAACATTGTTTACATCAAAATTGTAAAAACCTGGATGACATTGTGGATTGCATCTAAAATTTTAATTTTTTTGCATTGATGTGTATGAGAGGTATTTGTCAGTAGTCTTCATTTCTTGTAATGTCTTTGTATGTTTTTGTATCAGGGTGATGATGCCCTCATACAATGACTTAGGAAGTATTCCATCATCTTCAAATTTACAAGAGTTACTGTAGAATTGGTATTTTTTTATTCCTTAAATGTTTGGTACAATTCACCTGTGAAGCCATCTGGTACTAAGGCTTTGTTCATGGGAAGGTTTAAAATTATGAATTTAAATTCTTTAATATAGAGAGCTAT